CTGACTGAACTGACCCAGCTGGGCCTCTGGCCTCTGCATGCCTGGCCCTGGGCGTGCTCTGCTGTGGGCGCGGCCGTGATGGGAATCGCTCCACTGAACCCTTTATCTCGGACTCTCTTTCTTATTAGTACGATCGTGTGTTAATTTTCTAAACTAAGGAAGCATTTAAAAGAAAGTGGGTGGGAAGGATATTGAGGTTAAATTGAGGGGACAGAAATCTAGGGGTTCCATTTCTTTTTCTGCACCGGGAGACCACCAGGATTTTTCTGCCAAATGATAACAGACTGATTTCCTAATCAAACAGAGGATTGTGCGAGCCATTCAGACCTGTGTCCCTGCTCATTTCACAGCTCCAAAGAGGAGCTGACGGGCATCAGAAGAGAAGAATTGCAGCTAACCTAGGAATAATAGAAATGAAAAAATCAATGTAGAGATATAATTGAACGTAAGAGCTGGAGGTCGAGGTCATTGAGTGGTAATGTCAGCAGAAACCAGTGGGACCAAGGAACTGCAAGAGGAGGCGGTTCACAGAGGAGAATCTTTCCCCTTGCTGGGGTGGGGACGCGGTCCTGGAGACCGTGGACACCGTGGTTATCGGGCACGTTCATCAAAGAGAAGTTCCCTTCCAGTTTATTTCCGTGACCTTTTCTTTTTCCTTTATAAAGGATGCCTTGAGACCTGGAATGAATCCGAGGCTGTGACTTCGCCGCTGCTATGGTAGACCAGGGCATGTCCGAGCCTGTCCTTGCGCCTCCCTCAGCAGCAGAATTCCAGCGCTTCCCGTCGCCTTGCTGGGTGGGGACACACCTGGCCGGAACAGCGCCCCGAGATCCTGCAGCAGCCTGGGACAGCTGGCTCCCTTCCTCCTTCCCTCCCTCCCATCTCCGTTCCTGGAAGAAAGTTCCCGTTAAAAGTACTATTTATTTTCCTTTGCCAAAATGAGAGATAAAGATATTTTATTTAATGTGTTCTGATGGGGAAGGTGAGTGCTCTTCATGGGCATTTTTCTGATAAAACCAAAATAACTCCCCTCGAGAAATATGTGCTTCTCTCGCATGGAGCCCTTCACCGACTCGGCCTATCAGTTCCAGTGAAATCAATACTGCATTACGGTCAGCGTCAGGAGATTTGGATCGTGTGACCTTGGGCAAGTCACTTAATCTCTCTGCCGCAATCTGCGGCAGCGAACCGAAAATAATTCTAGCCACTTCAAGAAGGGAGAGTAAGATTAATGATAGCAAGGTTTTTAGACAATTGTCTCCATGGCAGTTTCACCCACTCTCTCAGTGTGTGTGTGTGTGTGTGTGTGTGTGTGTGTGTGTGTTTAATGTTTGATTTTCCTCTGAATCCAAATTCAACCACCCACGTAGTGACGCAAAGACAAAGCTACAGTACTCCCAAATGTAGGGCGGCAGTGCCTCCACTCAGCTGAATTTTCTGTCTCTGGACGCAGTGGGCACTTGGAAGGGTCCTCTGTTTCCCCTTTGGAGGAGGAGAGGGAAGGCAACCAAAACATCCATTGGGAAAAGAATTCCTGCATAAATGTTACTCTCTTCCCTTTTTAGAATTCAAAAAATGGTCACCTGATCAATTCATTTAAAATTTTGCAGTCATCTAAAATCCCATATGATTGGTCTGGAAAAACCATTTTCCTACTTGGACAATCTTAGTAGACTTCCGTGTCCAGCAAGGAGTTCTGAAATTCTTAGCTCTCACTCCTGAATATAATATATTTCTACCCCCATGCTTTTGCTCAACCCATTTTATTAGCTTAGTAGTGAGTCAATATAATGCAATTGTTCTCTCATTTTCTGTATTGACAAAGTACTCCCTTCCCCCCCTTATTCTAAGCATGCATTGCTGCCATGGCCCTTCCAGGAGTAATTCACAGCTCCAACAGTTGATTTTATAGGGACTACATCTTTCAAGATCTTCCCTAGTATTTTGTGCAGTTTTGGTTTCATTGATGAAACCGGAGGATCCTAGCAGATGTAGAAAGATTTCAGCTGGTCCGTTGAAGGCACAGCTCTCCGGCTTCCTCACAAAGCGGCACCCTTAATGAACAGATATTGGATGGTTTCCCACTGGACTCACTTCCTGAGTCTCCCTCCTTGGTGTCCAGAGAAAGGGGTGCATGTGAGTTTCACAGCCCGGGCTGGCCAGCAGTTCCTTATTTCAATCCCGCCTCATCAGCTTCTGAGTTCATGAAAATGCCTTTGAGATTCCAGATATATATTCGTCTTAATTTTTAGTGCTATTGTGTGTATTTATATTTCCTGTAGCTTCAGAGGTATTTCATTTGAAGCTGGGGAACCGTATTAAACACAAATAACTAGCTGCTATTTTAAAATGGAAATCCATTTTTGTCAACATTTTAAAAGTACATGGCAAACAGATGCTCAGGAGAAAAATATGGACTATATGAAGTGAGTTTATAAAGCCAGAAAGGGGCCTCTGTGTTCCACACATGAAATCAATATATGCTTCACTGTGCCCATACTTGCTTCTTTTGTTACCAGTGTCGCCTAAGAGTTCTTTCTCTCCTCAGGCCTACGGGCGGGCTGCTTTCTCTGCATGGACCCCCACCCTTGACCCCCACATCTCTTTCCATCTGCCTCCATCCTAGATCCCACTTTATCCTTCATGACTCAGTTTAAACGTCACTTTGTCAGAGGCAGTCCCTAACCTCCCAATATGTATTTGATTGGATTTCGCTGTTATACTATTTTCCAATATCTCATAATTTCTTTAGGGCCCTTCTCACAGTCTGAAACTAAATACTGGTATGGTCATTTCTATAAAATCTGTCGCCCACCTCAACCTCAACTCCAGCCGCACACACTGTGTGCTCTGAAACAGCAGCAGAGATGTGTTCCATCCGACACTACGATCAGAGTTTAGCCTTGTTTCTTGCAGGTGATTGGAGACAGAAAATAAAATGTATTTTTAAATAAATTTTGAGTACCTAGAGATGGTTAAAAATGCAAATAGCTTATGTAATTTACATAGGCTTAGATTCTTCATATAAAGCTTCAGATACTTTTTAAAATTTATACATTTTTCCCAAATATCCCTTTTGAAATAATGGCACTCTGTGAGGCAGACGACACTGCGACACTCAACATCTGTACGTCCTGAATGGATCTCAGCAGTCTTTCAATCATTTCTCCAGGAAGAGTTGCTGCTGAGAAAGGAAGCCTCCCCCCACCCCCCAAAAAAAGAAGCTCCGAGAAATTTTAGAACTGGGGTTGGTCTGTTATTGCTCAGAAATAATTTGAGAAAATCTGAAAAGATTGAGATAGTTACTCAATGAACACATCTTAAATTGAACACAAGTCAAATCCTCATGGCATTTCCATTTTAAAGCAGACACATTAACAACATTTAATCACTCTATCTTTTCAAATTACAAATGGACATTATTCTGCTTTGATTCTGAAATGTGCGAAATACTTTTTTAATGTACTGGACTCTGGAAATGCTCTAGAATAACTTCCTTCTTAAAGTAAGCTTATGGTTCAGGCTTTCAAAGTAAGGAGCCTTTTATAATACGAAAAATTGCCTTTCGTTTGTCTCATTTGCTGGCAATTACTTGGCTACTGGGTTTTCTCAAGGAAGAGTTCACGTGCAGAAAGCAGTCCCATCCCGAGGCTAACCATCCCTTAAGAGAAACTTGCTAACTCAGCCCAAACCTCAGGGAGACATAATTCTACCTTATGCCCTTATAAGCAGGAAAAAACAGTCTGGAAATTACTAAGACTTACTTTTTCCCCTTTAAAAAACAAAAGTCTCTAATCTAGATTATTTAAATCAACAGTGATCAGCAGAGAGAAAAACTGTGCTGTGACACTAAGGTTCAAGTGTTCAACCCTTGGCCCGCGGGCTGCACTTGGCTGAGGATGGACATGAATGCGGCCCAACACAAAATCATAAATTTACTTAAAACATTACGCGATTTTTTTGTGATTACGTGTTGCAATGTATTTAACGTGTGGCCCAAGACAATTCTTTTTTGTGTGGCCCAGAGATACCAAGAGGTTGGACACCGCTGGTTCAAAAGAACCTCAGGAGAGAGTTGTGGGTACTGAGCTACAGCAGAGACGTGGGAATCCAGCTCCTGTGTTGTGAGCCATTTGAGCCTGCGTAAAACAGGGAGTGCGGTGACCCTATATGCGGGCTTGTAGGGAGGGCTGGACGAGGTCCTTCATATCCAGCCCTTGGCACAGTGCCTGGACTGTAAGAAACAGCGGTTACTAAGATAGCCCACACACGTAAACACACATCTAAACCATGTCATCCTCGTTCAAGCTCCTTTGCTTCTTTATGAATGATCCACAGCTCCTGGAAAGAAGCAGCAACTGATAGGACTAAAAAGAGATGTTTTAAATTGATTTTATAATATTTATATAATTAACAATGTAGACACTTTAAACACGAGTGAGTGAATGACTGGACAGCTGTGTGTGTGAAGGAGGATGGAGTATGAGTGTGTGTGCACACATGCGTGGGATTTTCTTATGGGGAAATGAGGAAACCGTAGCACGGTGGGTGGGTATGGACATGCCAAGCGGCCAGTGTTGTCTCCCAGCGTGGAGGGTGCCTCGTCGCGGCAACACCTGCCTGAGTGCACGCGCCTGTGAAGAAAGGGCCTCCTTGTCTTTCACTGTTTTCGACCTGCTTCCCACTGAGGGAAAAAGAATAAAATAAAAAGACCATTGGTGGCTAGTTGGATTTCACCTTCTATTTTCGGGGGAGTGAACTGATTGAATGCGCACATTTTTCCAAGCACAGAGTGTGTCCACCCACCCATCTCTCCCATGTGGCCATTGCGACGCAGTCCCCAGATGTGACACTGTGCTAATCACAACCGAATGCCTGACAGCAGAACACAGATGTTCCCTACTCTGCTCTTTCTGCATCGCTCTGATTAAAGGATTCTCAAGGAGGGGACTCAGCATACTGTGCCATTTCTAAGAAAATCAGCAAGCTGTGAGTGCAGTAAATATCTGTTTAATTTACAAACATCAGTAGTATAACTGATATTAGTCTGGAGAAAGACAAAGCACATTGAATTATACATGTACATCTAATTTTCTCTGTAAAAAACGTTTTTGGAAAGAAACATCTGCCTTTACAGGATACCCTGGGATTTTAAGGAGGGAAGAGCACAGTCCACTATAAATCGTTATCAATTCTACATTGTAATTTAGCAGCAAACATGTTAATGTGGGGACATTAAGGTAACAAAGGAGCTTTATTGGTTGGGAAAAAAATCACAGTTCTTGACATTACAGCCTTTTCTCTCAGCACCCCCACCACCCTCCCCAAAGGGCCAAAAAGGTCAAGGGGACATTAACGTGTGAAAGATCTACCTTCTAGTGTTGACTGCTACACACCCTGTGTGTTCGGTGAGGACAGGGGCCACTCCTTTCTGTACAGGACGGTCTCATGCAAGGACTTGTGCACTGGCTGCAGGTGTCCCCAGCGAGGCCAGTAGGTCAGTGACACCAGGGGTCAGATGTCAAAGTAAACAAGCAGACCAACACGCATTTATCCCAAGATAACACCCTATGTTAGTTCTATTGCCAAAAAAAAATCCTGATTTTTAGATTTGAAAAATGTACAAAAATATCAGGACAATTATAAATTAATATATATTAAAGCATCGAGAAACAGCAAAAAGGATGGCCTAAAATGTTAAGTACAATGTACTTTGATACAATAAATATTTCTCATCGAAACTGAATACTGTATAGGGCTGTTTAGAACTCATAGAAACAAAAATTCATATTATTACTAATTTATTTATCAATAATCTATTGGTTCTTTATCATCTCTTTTATCATTTATATTACAAAAAAATTAATACTGGAAAACGGTAGATAAACACTTTTGTGTGCTTCTTCTGCTAACATGCTGACATTTAAAAAAGAAGATACAATTTTAGCCTTCCCGTCTTCTCTCAGGAACGGAACCCAGGTTGTTTTCGGGACGCTCTATGTTTTGCACAAAATATTTCTCATCCGTTTGTTCTCTCTGGGAATGGTGGGTCCCACTCCTCCGCCTAGCCTCCTGCCTCACTCGCGTGTGCTTGGCGTGACCTGGTGAACGCAGAGCCGCGGACCAGGGGCAAGTTCACGGCGGCGCGCAGCAGCTCGGGCCTCCCTCCTACGCATCTGTGCTTCTGCGGGTCTTCGGCGGCGCGTTCGGAGGGGGGGGGGGGGACCCAGGCCGCTGCGGTTCCCATCGCGGTCCTCCCGTGTCCGGGGTGACCAGCCTTCACACTTCTCCAGCGTCGGGGAAGCTGTAGTTCAAGCATTTCTATTTTTTTTTTCCAAATGCAGAAAAAAAAGTCTTTATTCTCATAATAAAAATAAGTCTGTTCTGTAATTTACAATATATTTCAAATATTTCCACTATGAAGCATTCACGCGTCCCCACGCGGTCAGGGAGGAGACCGCAGCTCCCCGAGACGAGCGCCGCGGGGCGGGCGGTTAGGAGGCGCACCGGGCGCAGCCGCACTTGACCACCTTCTCCACCTCGTCCACGAAGGAGGAGCCGTCCGTGCACTCGAAAGAGTATTTCCGCCGCTTGCTCCGCAGGGGCGCGCAGCACTGCCCGCCCGCACACCCGCCTCTGCACTCCAGGCGGGAGACCTTCTTGGTCGTCTGGCAAGCGGCGTAGCCCTGCTGCTTTTGGTAATAATCTCTGATCCGCTCCCCTTGACAGGAGACTTCTAGGGAAGAACAAAAAGCACAAGCACTTTAAGGGCGGTCTCCCTGTGTCCGTCGTGCGGAGTGACCACGAATGCGCACCTGGAATCAGGGGTGGCAGGTCCGCTTCCTGTTTGTAACTGCTATTGTCAGTGTTAGGCTTAAATGACATATTACGGACCATTGGCGTGGCCTGCTCGTTTTTTTTTATTTTTTATTTGCAAAATGCTGCTTTTTTTGGCCTTTATTTTCAGCAGAGTGCACACTAGAAATGTGAACTATGAATACTATGGCCATTGGACTGACAAGAATATTGGATTCCTAAGTCTTTTCCTTTATGGCAAAAATATACATCTTCTGTTTTTACACTCCCAACAGCTGGTTCTGTTTACCGCAGGGAGCAGTTTCAGAGAGCACGCAATTTAATTTATTAGACCTGGGGTTTAATATCATTCAATCTGTTACTTAATACAAGTAACATTCCGCTAACTTCTTACATTATCCGGTAGGAGCTAGTTCAAAAAGAGCCATCTGCTAAAAGGTTCTTTTCTGTCTGGTCCCGATACACTCAGCCAAACCCGAGCCAGGTAGGGGCAGGGCATCCTGCTCATGGGAGGAGAAAGGTGGGCCAGCAAGTCCGCCCTGCATAATGAGCTGGGATACATGAGTTCGATTCTAAGGTCAGAGGTGACTTTCTCCTCACACTACAGCCAAATTATTAGCTCTCTCTTCTCTGTGCCAGAAGACGAATTCATAAGGTATTTGGGTGTGAACATCAGGTACAGGTAAGAAAGGAGTCAAGTTAAGTGCACTCCTATGGAAGGCCGAAAGGAGTATTTCCGTTGCATATCGAGCTGTGAGCAGACAACCGAAGGCCCCGTGAAAATCCTGCAGGGCAGGGTTGGGACAGTGGGAAATAAATCGACAGCAGCAACTACAAGTCACATAAAGCCCTGGCACCTACCCCTCCCCTCTCTGGCTCTCTCTCTCATCCTGTCTCCCGGTCTCTCCTTTTGCTTTTGTAGATGGCGAGGAGCCTGGCTGGTCTGGCTTACCTCTGTCACAGCTGTCCCCGGTGTACCCACTGCTGCATTCACAGTAGGGCTGCCCCAGGCCCGAGAGCCTGCATTTCCCGTGCTTGCACTTGATGGCCTGGCAGGGGTTCAGCAGATCCTCCTCTTCATCACAGAGGACACCCCCATGGCCCTCCAGGCACTTACAGCTGTAGGAGAAAGCGTTGATGGGCAGGCAGGTGCCGTGCACACATCTGCAGAGAGGAGGGACGCAGGAGTGAAAATGGGTTAGTAGGAAGGGTAGGGATGGAGGGATGGTGATGGCAGAAATGTGAAGAAGACAGTTTAAGGAGCTGACTTCCTTCCCCTCCTTCTTCCCCTCCCTCCCTCTGGGTTTGCTTTGAGGGTTGCAATATGGGTGTTCACCTACCAAATAGCCCAAACTTACTTATTTCCAAGACAGGGGTCATTGGTCCTCTGGTCACAGAGGGGCCCCGTCCACCCTTCCTCGCACTCGCAGGTGAAGCCTGAGGGGCTGCCGGCCTGGCACGTGCCGTGGGCGCACACCTTCTTGTGGCACGGCTCGCAGCCCGGCAGGATGCCGGTTTGCATGGGCACCTTACGGAAGTCCTGCAGCTCACTGTTGATGTAGAGGTTGCGGATGCAGCCGTGGAAGCTGGTGCCGTTCTGCCCGGGGGCCTGGCGCAGGGCTGCCGCCACGTTGTTCTTCCCGGGCATTCCTGGAGCGGGGGACAGAGAGTCAGAGGTCAGTCAGGCTTTGTGGGGACTCCTCGGCCATTTGCCACCCAGACGCTGCTCTCAGCTCTTCCCGCGGGGTGGCCGTCTGTGTGACACTTCTTTAGGAGAAACGGATGTCACGAGCATCCAGTCCTGTGGGTCTCAACCTGCCTGCACTCCGAGAGCCCGTGGTACGGATGCTTGGCACCTCAGCCCAGACCTCCTTGACCCGATTTCCTGGGCAGGGTTGGGGCGGCAGAAGAGGTGCTTTGCTTTTGTTTTTTGACAAGGCACTCCGGGCAATTTTAGTGAACAACTAGATAAAGGACCTAGTTCACTGATGGTCAATTTTTAATTTTTAGTATTTGTTTCAAGCCAAAGCTGACACGGAGGGGGCAGGAGTACATACAATCTGAAAGCAGAGCTACTCTACTTCAAGGTAGGATTTGGAAGGGGGCGGAGGTAGTGCTCTCTTCTCTCTCTACACTCACCCCTCAACCAGGACACATCCCCCCAGAAGCCTCGAATTCCTCAATGCGAGGTTGGTAATTCCCTGACCCATCCCGTCTCTTAAAGACGAAGGGCCCCAGGCCCGAAGAGCTCGGGCGGCACACTCGACATCCCCCGGCAGGACGGAGTTGGCGTGAGGCAGGTGAGATGAGCCTTGCCATCTCTGGTCACAGTTCGGTCCATCCAGGCTCAGAGGGCGAGGGCTGGGCTTCACAGTGACTGTGGATGCTGCTGGGCCTGCCAGATGCTAAGCTCGAGAGCAGTCCAGCTCACCACTGACAACATCCGGAGCCCAGTCGTGGGTCTCTGTGCCTGGAACATCTCACCACGCTTCCTATCAGGATGGCACCTCATTCGCACCATTTTTTTTCCCTTGCTAATGGAGAGTGAAATCATGAAATTCCAAGAAATCGGAACTACAAACAAAATAACTTCCTCCAAACACAGAATTTGCAATCTTTGTACGTATGCATTCCACTAGTGATAGTCATCTCGCAACCCACATTTGGCAACACTGAGGAATCTTTCCACGGCTTATGCCAGACCCTGAAATAGTTCCTGGACGGGCTCTGACCGAAGGCAGCTGTCCAGGCCGCTGTGGGAGGCTCAGAGAGCAGCTGGCTTCCCCCTGGTGTCCATGTCCTTGTTGTGCCTGGACTCCGAGCTTCTGGCTGGAGGGTCTACGGGCTTTGCTGGTTAGAAGGTCCAAGCATCCCAGCTCTCCCGGGCCCTGCCTTGTGGCATCGTCACCTTTCCTATTCACAGGGGCCCTGTTTGCAGGCACTGAAGTCAGATAGCCAGGCACACAGCACCACATGCTGGAGGTCAGTCTTGATTGTTGGTTCTGTGTGCACTTGGGCTGGTCATTTCCCTTCTCTGAGGCTTGGTTTTCTACATGAGTGGATAGACCAAAACAGTTGTTCCCAAGCTGGTCAGACGTAAGAACCAGCAGATGTGCGTGTTCAGAAGGCGGCTCCTGTCCCGCCTCCCTCCCCACCTTGAGTCTGACGCTGCAGGAAGCCCAGCGGGCAGGGCAGGCGTCTAGACATGCACGTGCACCTCAGGGAGCTCGGAGCCGGGCCGGTGCACAACCACACGCAGACGGCACTGATTTACGTGTCTTGGTTTTGAAGTTCCGGGAGCTCAAGCTTTTCGTCTACGTCCATCTGGCCTTGGAAACTGGGTGCTTCTGTAGAGCAAGGTCAGAAGGATGAAGTGTGCCACTTCCAGGAGAGGACTGGTGACAGGAAGTCCCTTAGTCTGGGAGAAGATGTTCTAATTTAATCTTATCTGTCATGTGTGTGGACTTTAATGTCCACATGTTTCCAAACTATTTTTTAAAAATTTTATTTATTTATTTTTAGAGAGGGAAGGGAGGGAGACAGAGAGAGAGAAACATCCATGTGTGGTTGCTGGGGGCCGTGGCCTGCAACCCGGGCATGTGCCCTGACTGGGAATCAAACCTGCGATACTTTGGTTCGCAGCCCGCACTCAATCCACTGAGCTACGCCAGCCAGGGCTCCAAACTTTTTAGCTTGTTTTGATTGGGTTATGATACATATATATGCACATGTCAAGATCAAATATACACTCGTGATGTTCCGCAGTGGGGACAAACAGGAAACCTGTTCCTTTTATTCCCAGAGCTAACGATTGTTTGAGGTCTTACTTGTTGCTAACAAGCAAGAGAGAGAGACTCACAGCTAGAGAGCAGGATGACAGCTTTGGCGGGTGGGGGTGGAAGGATCGAGCACAAAGGAAAAAGAACTCGTGGACACAGACAACAGTGTGTGATTGCGGAGGGAGGGGGTGGAGGTGGGGGAGGGTAGAAGAGGGATAAACGGTGATGGAAAAAATTCAGTAAAAACAATCTACTAAGAAAAGGAATAGACCCATGTTTTTTTTTTCTTTCTTTTAGCTTGTCGTCTGTGCCATGGACTGTAGCTGGAGGTCAATCGACAGGTAACCCAGTAGGAGATTTTTAGGTTTAACAAACTCTCCTGTTTCAAAATGACCATAAAGGGGTTAAGGGTCAGAGCTGAGGGTCAGAGCTGAGGCCCAACAGTGACATTAGGAGATTTGTGACATGCTGGTGGGTCTTTCCGTGTAGGTCTTGACTCTTGTTTTTAACCCGTTAGGTAACATGACCCGTTCTGACTGGGTTATTGCGCGGAGAAGCAGAAAGAGTAGATTGCTTTGCGTTGAGCGAGGCCTGTGTCACGGGTAACTGATCACCCACGGGTGAGGTACAGCTGCCCCCCTCTTCTGCTAGAGCATGCTTCTGCAGGGGGCCTAGGGCATGGGGTCATCACTGAGGGGTGCCCCGGTTTGCAGACTGGGAGAGAAGAGAGAGCTTGTTTGCCTCACTCTCCTCCGCTCTCTCAGGTTCCCCTGCCTTCCCCATAGAGATCCAGGGCTGCGGTTTCATGACTGCCTTGTGTTTCTTTGTTGTTGCTGTTGTTTTAAGATTTTTAAACATTTAATCTTTATTGCATTTTTTCCCATTGTCATTGAGTTCCCTTCTACTCCCCTCCCCCCAGCAAGCACCACACTGTTCTCCTTAAGCTGGACTTCCCTTGCATAGACTTAGAATTCCTTCTAAGTCACGGAAGCGGTTTTCGTCAGGCCTGGGTGGACAGCGGCACTGGGTGCATGTCCAGTCCCCCTACCGGCAGAAGGATGACCACTGATAGTTTGGAATTTTAAACTTTTTTTTTCCCTTTTGGAAAACGTGCTGACCCAAGCACTCCCATTCTGTAATTCCCACCTCCCCGCACCGTATTCTAAAAGGGTTTACAAAGCTTTCATGAAATGGTTTCTAATGAAAGCATAAGGAAATCAGTGAAGAACAAATCCAGAGAAACACCGACAGCCACAAACCTTCGGCTGCATCCCTTTCTGCTCTATGTTAATCAGTGAGTGGCAATGCAGGTGGCCGTGGGTCAAACAGGCCTGGACTTAAATGAGGTGCCTGTCACTTCAGAGCTTTGTGAACTTGGAGGAGTTTTATGAAGTCCCTGAGATTGCCTCTTCGGGACTGTAAAACAAAAAAAAAGTCACACCTAGTTCCTCAAGTCCCTGAGGAATCAGAGTGCAAAAGAAGCATCCTGCTGAGCACACACCATGTGCTTAGTAGATACAATTTCACTCCCTCCTCAGGTACTTCTGTGACTGGCTTCACCCACCCCAAGGCAACAGCTGCTGACGGCCATACTGGCCAAATGGAAGGCTTCTGTCTTTTAATGAATCTCACAGTTGTGACTCCCATGTAGCAACTAGTCTACTTGCTGCACAGACTTAACATGTGATACATTTGATTACTTGAAAAGGTGCTTGCTTTCCCCATTCTCCTGGGCACAGAAGAGATTGTTTATTTCAACTCTGTATCCTGCAGCACGAAGTATTCACTTAGTTCCCAGCATGCCGGAGATGCTTGATAAATATTCACAGAGTGGAACCAAAGGCTTTGAAAGACTTTTAACTCTCTCGAAATACTCAAAAACCCCATCAAAGTGCTACAATTTTCTATTGCAAATGACTGAAAATAAAAGTGCTCTGGACGTTCAGGATAATTCCAAAAACTGCTGTCAGGGAAGGCTTTGAGGGGGTCGAGAAAATTGCGTAGCAGCCAGAGGTTACTATTTTGATGGGAATGATGTGAACTTCATAAAATACCTGTCATGGCGAAGAAATCAGTGACACTGACCTGTAGAAAACCTTTAGCTTATTTATCTGTAAAATAAGTTAATTTCATCAGTTATTTCACTTCAGTTCAAAGTGATTTAATTCAACATTACGTGCTTTGCTTCTTTGCCTGGAATTTGAAATTCTATGTCTCCGGTTTATATGGGCTCCTCCCAGCAGAGGCAAGAGTGGGAGCGCTCTCCTTGGTCGACCCCCTCCCTGGGCTCCTTCAGAATCTCGCTCACATTTCCTCCCTCACCTATTCACTCATCTGACTTCTTGGTTGAAAATACAGTCCAAAGTCGTTATTACTCCAAGCCCGAATCCACACGCTGAACCCTCGCTCTCATTCACTCACAGTAAGGTCACAGCTAAACGAAAACATCATCTACTATCCCAACACAGTTTGCACATTTAGTTTGCTTGCATGTTCATTCATTCAGTCTCATTAACAATTATCCTGTCATCTACATGAGTCAGCAACCGGTGGCCCGGACATTCCCAGTGTGGTAACAAGTCACAGAAGCTGGAGTGTCCACGGGCGCTGGCGGGGGTCATGCGCTCCAGTGTGTATCCAACTTGTTTCACCACTTTGTTCACTGTCTGACTTGACCTCTCTCTGCTTTCTTTTCCCCAAGACCAGATCAAATAACAAGATGGAATTCTCTGATGTGTACATTGCCCAGCATGCAGCAGACACACGGAACCAAGAACAACTTTCTCCACCCCAGTGACACTTGGAGCTGGGATTACAAAATGGGCCCTCAACAGCGATCTAGGGCTCTTTCTTTTCTGTCCTTGCTGTCCATCTCGCAGCGACTGATCCCTGCTGGTCAATGACCACGGCACCAACAACTGCAGAATCAGTCTTTGAGGAGAATCATCGGGTTGGGGGACCCACTGGATGTGGGAGAGAGCTTACCTCCTACGTAGAGTGGGGAGTCAAAACTCAGAGTGGACTGCTTTGACAAGTTGGTGATGATTTTGGGGCTCCCTCCATCCACGGAGAGGGAGAGGCTCTGATCCAGGGCGAGTAGTTCCACAATGTGAAAGTTTCCATCGTTGATCGTCTCCACACTACAGACAGACAGACAGACAGACAGAGAAGCAAAACTAAGATGATGTGTTCATGTTCTTCATGTTAAAGAAGTCACAATACAAACTCCAATAAACACTTCTTAGGAACAGATACTCCTGTCTAACATTAATGAAGATAACCATTAGTTGATGTAAAAATAAAAGATATTTTTTATGTGATACTATTTCTATCCTTAGGAACAGATATAAGCCTGTTCTTCCATTGGGAGAAGCAGAAAAGACTATATTTACTATCCAGTAACATTCTCTTATCACTGTCCATCACTATCCAGTCACATTCTCTTAATATACAAAGTCTGTCTGAAAAAGTCCAGTCTTTGTTAATATAATGAGAATAGTTTTCATGAAATTGATGTCACTTGGCAGCCAAGGCAAGTGGACTAGAATGTGCATGCGTGAACAATGATGACTTCACTATACTAGTCATTGGGGGCAATAGACACTGTTGAGTGAGCATGTGTACTGTGTGGTTGTTACATTCAGAATGACCAAATAAGTAGAGCAATGAATCTGCATCAAATTTTGCCTTAAGCTTGAGCATTCCTCCGTGGAAACTATTCAGATGATTCAGAAGGCTGCAGCTATGGGCAACTGGTGATTGGCAGCTTCATCATGACAATATGCCCACTTATGCATCATGTCTCATACAAAGTTTTTTGGTGAAACATCAAATCACCCAAGTGACTCAGCCCCACTACAGCCCAGATTTGGAGCCTTGTGATCTCTGGCTTTTCCCAAAACTAAAATCACCTTTGAAAGGGAAGAGATTTTGGACCGTCGATGGGATTCGAGAAAATACGACAGGGCAGCTGATGGTGATTGGGAGAACTGTGTGAGGTCTCAAGGTGTCTACTCTGAAGGGGACTGGGGTGTCACTGTCCTATGTATAATGTTGCTTGTATCCTGCATCTTCTTCAATAAGTGTCTCTTTTTCATAGGACATGGCTGGGTACTTTCTGGACAGACCTCATATATAAATTACAAAAGATGCCTGATGTATTTGCTGTTAAATGCCACACAAGTTGCACTCACTAAGAAACTGTTAATCCAAGTCGCATGCAGAAGACAAGGGACCCACACCTGTGTGACATATCTTCTACAGACACTAAAGGTAGCAGATGAGCGGCACCTGCTCTCCTCAGTACTGCACAGACGGCTCATTAGAACCAAACATTCCCAAATGCAGGACGGTCCAATGTGGGAGGATCACTGCACTCTTTAAAGCATGTTACCTGATAACACATATTCTTAATTTCTTTGGATTTTTCAGAGGACTGCCCATCAAATGACGCTACTGTGAAGGAGTCTATGCTCAGTGCACAGGAGGCAATGGCAGACTGAACAGAACGTGGGCCAGAGGCCCAGCCAGGGGTCTAGGGGTGACAGGGGTCCTTCCATTTCTCGTCTGCAGCTTCCCAGGGCAAGGGGCAACAGTTACTCCCAAAATTCTGGGGGGGGGCGCGGCGGCGTATGAACATTTATGATACGGACAAAAAGAAGAAGATTAAGAAACTTAGATAAATAAAAAACGAGGGTTGAAAACAGGATGAAGTTGGGTGCTATCAGTGACCAGGTGCTGCCTGGTCTCTCAGGGCGGCTGTGAATCCGTGAGCGCGCTGCTGCAGCAGAGGAGGAGCAGAGGGAGGAGGGGACCGAGACACAGGGCGTGCCAGCCACAGGCTCACCTTCCGCTGTGGACGCCGAGCATGGTGTGCATTCCAACTGGGGCCAGAGGTAAACAGTGGATACCAAAGAGCTAATATAACAGTCTTTTGACTGGAAAGATTTTTTTAAATGGCTCCAGAATGAAAATATCGAAGCACATGTTGAAGGGATTGGGAATACCTAACATTCCCTACACAAGATGTTTACTTAGATTTCCAGGCCATTGGTATTTGAATTTGCAAACAGGTCAAACCTGGAAAACAACCGAAAAGTGCACTGGCATTTCTGCATGGGTGTCACCACAGAAATCTAATCTTATTGCCTTTTTTAATTTAATTGCCTACGTAGGATAGGAAGGTTTTGTGATTTGATAACAATATAAAGCATTCTGTAGACCTGTGACATTTGAGGTTCTCGTTTTAAGTGCTTCAAGTAGTCCCTGCTGGGATCTTTGATAATCTGTCTCAAATATCATGTTTAAACAATGTTAGATATGCTAATAAGTATTTCTGCCTTCTACACATTTAATTATCCCTTTAAAATCAACAACCCCTCCCCCACTATATGAGGAAATCATTTGCTAAGTAAAGTTGCATTGTGACTGTTAATGGTCTTAAATATTAATTTTCTAAGGGGATATGCTGAATAGTACTATCAAACAGTTGTGAAGTGTACAGATTTTTGATGCCAAATAAACTTGGATTTGAATTCAGGTCTTGAAATTTAAAAACATTTGACTTTAGGTAAGTTACTTAATTGTTAATAAAGTTCAGTTTTCTCTTCAGTAGATGTTAATAAATATTTACCCCTCTTGTGATAAATTTGAGGGCTATAGGAGATAAATTTTTAAAAATGCAAAGCAAAGCATCCAGCATATGGAAAGGACAAAGTTCAATGTTAGTGTCACTGTCACCAACACCCCCACAGTTATCATCCAAAAAATGCCATACTATCTTCAGGAAGAAATGAGGCCAGTTGTTATTTTTTAATAATAATTGTAAGATAATATTAAAGACTGACAGAAACATGATAGCTACTTTGGGGGCATATCTTGTTCAAGTTGCTAAAAGTTTTACGTGAAACATTAAAATAAAGATGTACACAGAGAAGACAGTGGCCAACTGCTTTTTCTTTGCGACCAGACAGAGCTCTCAAAGTGGTTTCCCATGAATGTTCTATGACTGTAATTAAGTCATAGATAACAATAATGAGGCCCCTGTTTCCTTTACCATTGTAAAAGGAAGACCTCTGTGTACTGGGGAGTGGGTTCTGACAACGGTGGGTCAGACAACGGTTTCAGACAATCGATCCGGGCATGTCATCATGGACGGTGGTGTTTGGTTTGATACAGTACAACTGAGCGCACTCCTCTACAGCAGGAGCCATGCATACTTATTTCTGTGCTCCTTCATGTATCCACTAGAGTGTCTGGGATAGGGTAGTTGCTCAATAAGTACATGGTAAGCAATGAAATACAAGGGAGATGTATTAAGTATTACGTATGTAGTTTTTTTAGGAATACTAACTGGATAATAGTAAAAAACAGTCAAGAGACTTCAAGCGTTCTTCGGGCAGGACATGGAAACAATTTATTTTATTTTTATTTATTTTTTAAAAGATTTTATTTATTTATTTTTAGAGAGAGGGGAAGGGAAGGAGAAAGAGAGGGAGAGTAATTAATATGTGGTTGCCCCTGTCATGCCCCCCACTGGGGACCTGGCCCACAACCCTGGCATGCGCCCTGACTGGGAATTGAACTGGTGACCCTTTGGTTCGCAGGCCAGCCCTCAATCTACTGAGCCACACCAGCTAAGGCTAAACAAGTGTATTTTATTTAAAATGTTGGATTGTACAGTGGCCGTACCCTAAAGGGCAATGCTGGGAGCTAAATCTTGTTTGGCTTCTTGTCCTCAGTCTCATCAGATGTGCGACACTGGATTCATGACTTCGGGTCATTTTTCTCTGCTTTATTTTCCTCATCAGAAAGATGGGACTAACAAGACCAAAGAATTACACAACACACACTATGAGCTGGGTACTGTTCCAAGAATGTGACATGTATTAACTCATTTAAGACTCACAACAAGGCGAAGGTTTGGGCGCTGAGGGTACTCAAGGCGGCACTGCCAGCGGCCACACAGAGTTCAAGGCAGGTGGCCTGGCTCCAGAGGATGTGCTTTTGATTATTACGCCTCACTTTTGAAAAAACACTCAAAGAGTAACTAGCCTGTACAATCCTCATGTGTTCTCACCACAAACAAGCCTTTAATAGGGTGATTTCTCTCCCAAAATAGCCTAGGAATAAAGTTCTATGGAAAATCGCCTTATGTGATGGTTGCACGACTTCGACATTCACTAAAAATCAAGGAATTGTAAAAATAATGTAGTAATCTTATGACGAGAGTCTAAATTCAGTGAAGGTTATGAGAAAGCATCTAAAGTACAGAGACGTGAAACTTGGATTTGGGTTTCATTTTCCAAACTATAAGTAAAATTCAGACTGCCTTGGGTTTTCCTCCTCCCCAAAGCTGCAAGTGCCCAGTCTGATCGTTCCAGACCTTGGCAAGAGTTATCACCGAGCTTAATTCCATTTCTAGTTCCCTATAATTAAGGCCCCACTCTGATCTTTTAATAGGTAAGTATTGTAAAATTAATAGTTTCAGAATTTTTTTTCTTGGTTTTTAAGGTGGCATTGTGTGGCTGGGGCCTGAGGAGAAAATGCGAGAGCTAAGAGTATTCTAAATTGGTGTCCCACGCTGTCTTGTAAAGCATGTGACAGGCTGGGGGATGACCCGGCGCAACCTTTGAATATAAAAGCAGTGACCAGGCACAACGGCTGCAACACAACAGAACTCGGTCATCATCGATTTTACCGTCTATCACGGTCATGGCCTGCCTACCAGCTCTCCAGGCCCGACGGCCTTTCCGGTTCGGAGGAGCATGGACAAGTCCTCTCGCTCTCTCTCCTCTTGAGGGGGCTGTGTGTTCGATGACTCACAGAAACCAGAAGCGAGCCACTTAGCAGCGCGCCCTTCCACTGGGAACGTACAGCCTTTACGGCCTTTATTACGTAATTCAGTCTTGCTACGCTCATCTGTTACCTGAGATTTGATTTTCTTGAATTTCTAAACGGCTGTATAAAAACAAAGCAGCTGCTCAGCGATGTCTCGTGGTGTGCTGCAGAGAAAGAGTTTAAACACTCGGGGCTTAAGAGAAGAGAGCCTGTAATTTGCCTCGGATTTTCCTAATGTACGTGGGACACGTGAACAGTGGCTTTTATATTTCTATCTCAACCATAAATCTTCAGTGATTTT